TCACTTGGTAGCCCAGGCTGGCCTCGAACTCACAGAGATCCGCCTGGCTCTGCCTCCCGAGTGCTGGGATTAAAGGCGTGCGCCACCAACGCCCGGCTCCTTATTTTTTTTTTAAGGAAAAGTTTTATAATGTAGCCATACCAGGCCTGAAATTTGCTTTGTAGACTAGGCTTGTCTTGAACAGGCATATCACACCATGGCTGGCTCATTTTCTTACCTGTAAAATGCATAATCTTGACTATAGTGACAGGATCAACTTCAATGGGGTACTGAAGAAGGGTGAAATGAGGGTAGCCCTCCTCAAGTAGTCTGTCAAGGAGAAGGCATCAGGGCAAGTGCTTCATCTTCCTTCTTGAAAACCTACCTCTTTCCTAAAAGTGAGGTTCCTGTGGTAAGCATGTGTGGGAGGTCAACACAAGGGAAGTGAGAAAGGGAAGTGGCATTGTGTGGGAAGTGATTCAGAAGTGGGTGGGGATGGAGGGTGTTTCAGGCATACCCACTGCCCAAAGGGGCCATCTGAAGAAACCCTTAGGGCCTACAAGGGTAGAGAAGAGAGAACCAGTTGGGCCATGTTCTATGAGTACCTAAGGGCAGATAGTATTTGCTTCTAGGCCTGTTTTCCTTTTCTGTAAAATGTGCACACAAACAGGGCCCTGGGATGTACAGGCTTGTAACCTTATCTACTTTGGAGGTTCAAACAAGCAGAATGAAAGTTCAAGGCTTGCCTAGGCTACAGTGTGAGTTCAAGGCTACCTTGGCTAATTTAGTAAGATTCTGTCTCAAAAATAAAATTTAAAGAAGAGCAGGGTGGAGGTGAGATTGCTCAGTGTGTGAAGGTGCTTGCTGAAAAACCTAATGACCTGAGTTTAATTCCTAGAGCTCACATGATAGGAGATAATTGACTCCCTTAAGTTGTCCTCTGACCTCCACATGTACACGGTGGCATGTGTAGTAAATGTTTAAAGGCTGGGGTGGCCAGAGATGTAGCTCAGTTGGTAAAGTGCTAGCCTAGCATCGATGAAGCCCACAGTTTGTTACTTTGCATCATATAAATTGAGCACAACAATGGATACCTGTAGTCTTAGCAATTGGGAGGTAGAGGCAAGATGATCAGAAGAAGTTCAAGGCTACCCTTGGCTACAGAGCAAATTTTAAAAACAAACAAGCAAGCTGGACAGTGGTGGAGCATACCTTTAATCCCAGCACTCAGGAGGCAGAGGGAGGTAGATCTTTGTGAGTTCGAGGCCAGCCTGGTCTACAAAGCGAGTTCTAGGACAGCCAGGACAATTACACAGAGAAACCCTGCCATGAAAAATCAAAACCAAAACAAACAAGCAAGCAAAGGTTTGGCTGGGAGTTTAGCTCAGAGGTATGCCATTTGCCCAGCATGTGAGTAGTTTTGGGTTTGATCCCCAGTACTGAAAAAAATAAAGCATCTGACACAGTTAGATTTGTCACAGACTGAAAATGAAAATACTTAGAACAGTGCCTGGCTGTGTTTATTAAATTGTTAACATTTATTAAGTGTCAGAGTGGTTCTCAGCATTAGATGGCATAGAGAACAGGACAGATAAAAATCACTGCCTCTGAAGAACTCACACTCTACAAGGGGAGAGTAGCAATAAACATCTTTTCCTGTGACCCTTGTTGGATGGCATCACTCTCTAGCCTTAGGACATACCAGAATCACCAACAGGACTTCTCAATCAAACTGCAGATTGCTGAGTCCCACCTATTTCTCTCTCAGCAGGTGTGGCTTGGGGCTCCACTAATGCATTTCTAACAATCTCCCAAGAGACATTGATGGCTGGTTTGAAGAACTTGGAGAAATGTTATTTTGGTTCTGATCCCTCTTTAGTTTTCTTGGTGGGTCATATCTAGAGAAAAAAATTTTACAGGTGCCTTATTTCACTGTTAATGACTGATACATCTCCAGCCCATTTTCACCCAAGGAAAATCTGAGCTCCATAGACTTTTTTATTTTCTAATTTTTTAAAACAAGCCTTAATGAATGAAATTCTAGAACTTGCTTTTAAAAACAGCACTCTTGTGCCCTGGGGCTTAGTAGCAGACTGCCTACTTAGCATGAGACAGACCTTGGGTTTGATCTTCAGCATCACAAAAATAAAGAAGTAAATAAAAACAATTTTTATAATCCACAAAAAGGAGCTTGAGAAAGGTGACACTCTAGTTCTCCTGCAGTCACAGATAAGTATCTTTGAATCAAGATAAAATAGAAGTCCCTCAAGGATCTGCTCTTGATTTGGGGGTTGTACTGGCTGGTTTTGTGTGCCAACTTGACACAAGCTAGAGTCATCAGAGAGGAACTCAGTTGAAGAAATGCCTTCATGAGATCCAGTTGTAAGGCATTTTCTCAATTAGTGATCAATGGGGGAGGGTCCAGCCCATGGTGGGTGGTTCCATCCCTGGGCTGCTGGTCCTTGGTTCTATAAGAAAGCAGGTTGAACAAGACATGGGAAGCAAGCCAGTAAACAGCAACCTTCCATGGCCTCTGCATCAGCTCCTGCCTCCAGGTTCCGGTCCTGTTTGAGTTCCTGTCCTGACTTCCTTCGATGATGAACAGCAATATGGAAGTGTAAGCCAAATAAACCTTTCCTTCTCAGCTTGCTTTTTGGTCATGGCATTTCATCACAGCAATAGAAACCCTAACTAAGACAGGAGTGACAAAATTTCTGTTAATATTTGTATCCATCATATAAGTACCCTATTCTCTGAGAATATCTTTGTCTGTAACTGTGTGCCCTTGAACAAATGGATCTTGTTAAGATTCTAAGACTTCAGCTGTCAGTGCTGTTATCTTGGAAAAACAAACCTGCAATTCTTCCTGGCCCCATTATTCAATCACCCTTTACCCTGGTAATAATGTTATAATTGATATTTCCTTTGTTCCTACATGGCATACTCATAGAATTCTCTGTGGATGAAGGTTGTCAGCACTTTTTTTCTCCCACACACTAAGGTATTCAAATGACTTAACAGATTCCTTATTTAAACAAAGAATGAGAGTTTGGTTTTATTTGTTACTGCCTGATATAATTTACTTATCTGTCGTGTCAGTTTCCCTGAGTTATCAGTCCCATAAAGGAAGTTTTTTTTGGGGGGTGGGGAAGCAGATGAGACAGTGTCTAGCCTTGAACTCATGGTAACCTTCCTGCACATTGGGATTAAAGGCTTCAGTCACACACATCTCGATGCTACTGTTGTTTTGAAATAAGGTACTTCTCTGTAGCCCAAGTGGACTTTGAACTCATGGCAACCCTGCTGGCTTAGAATCCTGAGTGTTGAGAAGGGCAGAAACTTTTGTCTAATTTCTTAGCTGCTAGGTCTTCAGGACACCAGACAGACATGAGCTAACAGTGGATGAACAACAAAGATCTACTCAGTCAATCAATAAATGAAATAAAAGTTGAATTTCTAGTAAGTGCTAACAGGACATTAAAGAAAACTAGGCATCACCTTCCAGCATCTATTTCAAATGCTAGGACCAGAGAAGACTATCTAGAAATGATGCCTGAGGAAGGAGTGCTGGGCAAAGTCCAGGTGAATCTCAGCATTTCAACTTTTTTAAAAAACTTTTATTATGTATACAGTGTTCTGCCTGCATGTATCCCTGCAGGCCAGAAGAGGGAACCAGATCTCATTATACATGATTGTGAGCCATCATACGGTTGTTGGGAATTGAACCCAGGACCTCTGAAAGAGTCAGCCAGTGCTCTTAACCTCTGGGCCATCTCTCCAGCCCGCATTTCAATTTTTGAAGCACTGGAGGCTAAGCCAGGAGGGGCCTGTGGAAGAAGAGGACAAACAGGAGGCCCTGGCACATCCATTCTGTGATCTCTCAGATATGGCCTCATTTGGTCTCAATCACTTTCTCTTATTTTGTCTTATTTTTTCACCTATATACAGACTTCTGGATTTCTAGTGTCTAGTATAGCTTCTTAGGAACAGGCTCACATTCTTGTTCTTAAAAAATACATTTATTTATTTGGTTTTTGTGTGAGTAGGTTAGAAGACAACTTATAGGAGTTGGTTCTTTCCTCCTACCATTGAGTCCCAGAGACTCAGGTTGTCAGGTCTGATGGTAAGCGCATTTACCCACAGAGCCATCTTGCTGCTCCCTTTTTATTTTACTAGGTCAGAGAACAACTTTTTAGAGTCAGTTCTCTCCTTCCAACAGGTGTGCTCTGGGGATGGAAAACAGGTTACTATGCTTGTGTGGCTAGTTCACTTAACTGCTGAGCCATCTCATCTGACCTACACGTGATTTTGTGTTCATTTTTTTTAAGATAATAGGGTTATGTAGCACACACAACCCTTGAATTAAATAGCCAATGATGATCTTGAACACCTGATACTCCTGCCTCCACCTCCTGTGTGCTAGGATTACAGGCATGCACATTTGTCTTACATACATATTTATGTGCTTGATTACATAACCTCTCGGACACTGTCATTCACTCAGGGTTGTCATTGTCTCTGCTGTTGATCCCCAGCCTCATTAGTCTCCTACTAACAGACAGACAGATACACACAGAGCATCATGTGTTATAGTCTGTCTCATTTGGTTAATATCACCAGTACTTTTTCTCACTAGGTCAGTTTTACCACATGTATAAGCACAGGAACTATTTCTTTCCTTTGACCTAACATTTTCTTTCTTTTTTCTTTTTCTTTCTTTCTTTTTTTTTTCAAGACAGGGTTTCTCTGTGTACTTTTTGTGCCTGTCCTGGATCTCATTCTGTAGCCCAGGCTGGCCTTGAACTCACAGAGACCCACTTGGCTCTACCTCCCGAGTGCTGGGGTTAAAGGTGTGCAACACCACCGCTTGGCTCTAACATTTTCTTACATGCACAACTACTTTTATACAGTCACCACTAAATAAGTTTCATGACGTTTCTTGCACATATAAAATCACCATTTCTCCTCCCCCTTCTCTCTTAAAGCCACTTAGGTCACACCTTCAAGAATTCCCTATTTATAGCCTATTATAGAGTTACAGCCTCCTCTGAAGAACTGTTACATGAACACACAAAGGCACAGTACCTCAGACATCTCATCTTCCTCATGAAGTAATGAATTTCTTCTCAATCACCATTCCGACTCTTTTATTCACAGAGCTGTGTTTTGCTTTGAGACAGGGTTTCACTCTGTAGCTTAGGCTGGGTTCAAACTCACTATGTAGCTTGGCTAGCCTTGAACTCATGGTGATCCTCCTACCTCAGTCTCTGAGTGCCAGAACTGGAGGTGTGAACCACCATGTCCAGCAAAGAGTTTCACATACAGCTTCTTAGACACTTGGTCCACTCACCATTCAGTCTCACCATCATTTCCCCTCAGTCCCTTCTGATATACAAGGTCACTAATTCACAATTGCTACAAGGCTTTCATTAAGTCTCCTGTGATCAGTTTCCTATGCCCTGGTCAAACACACCATCATTTTCCTCATACAATCAGCTATCATGGATACATTTGTACATTTAATAGCCTCCAAGTTTCTCACATACCCTGATTGTGGTCATACAGTAGTTCACTGTCTCAGTCTCATTTTGTTTTCCATACATAAGGGTTGATTCAGTTTTATGAAATGTTTCAGACTTACATACTTTTCAGACACCATTTGGTTGTCAAGTTTCTCTCTCATAACTGCTGACTATGAGTCCTTGCTACTGCTGGCCCCATGTGAACAGTCCTTTCTTCCTCCTCACAGACAGGTTTGTGTTTCAGCTCCTCAGCCTCACCAGAACCTGTGGGGAAGCTGCAATTGTTAATTGCAAACCGGTTCACCACTCACTAGACTCAGGGTCACGGTCACAGTCACAGTCTCTCTCTCTCCTCCCCCCCCCACTAGCCTTTCAGACTTAGCAGCCACAGCCAATCCAGTTCTCATTCTTTCCCATGGTTTCAATAAAACATTTCATACAAATAGTCTCATACCTTGTACCTTGTGTCTTATCAGTCACTTCTTGGGCCTCACGGTCATTTTCTTTTACACAATCAACTTCTTACACACATACTTCCATGACTTAATTTCACACACAAATCATTTCTCAAATGCTGAGAATTGCCTGATACTAAACAGTGAGATTTCTCATCTACAAATGGTGGTCCTTGACAATCTCCACCGGTTTCCTGTCCACACTTTCACCCATGGTTTTGGTCACTCAGTCTGCCCATGCTGACAGCCTGTCAAATAGTGTCTAATTTGCAGTCCCCACTCTCTACCTATAAACAGTATGTTGTATAGATCATTGCAGGTTTTTGTTTTGAGACAGGATCTTGCTATGTAGCCTAGACTGTTCTCAAATTCACAAGCCTTTTGCCCAGCTTCTGCTGGGATATAGGTATGTGATACCACACCTGGCTCTTACATAATATCCAATTATTCACTCAGTCTTAGTTGAGTTTCTGAAATACAGCCACAATTTCTCATAGACACACTGTCAAATGCAGTTGGGACTGGAGGAATGGCCTAGTCAATAAAACACTTGCTTTGCAAGCATGAGAACATGCATTTGGTCCCCAGAATGCAGGTACAAATTCCAGGTATAGAGAAACACATGCTTGTAGTTCCAGAATTCGGAGGTGGAGACAGGTGGATTCTTGAGGCTTGATGGCCTGCCAGTGTATCCTAACTGGTAAAGTCTAGGTCAATGTGATATCCTGTCTCAAAGGAGGGGGACAGTGTTCCAGAAGACAACACCCAAAGTTGTCCAGCCGCCACATACAATACCATGCATACATATGCACAAAAATGTTTGTGGTCACACTTCTGACCTGTCACACACAAACCTTTCAGTTTCTCTCACCACACTGGTTATCAATCAGCAGTCTGTATCAAGTGTTTCTGACATACGCCATCATTCTGCTTGTTTCACAGTTAATCTCCACCTCCCCCTTATTGTTCTTCACATACATTCATGACTGTCATAGCTCATTCTGCTGACACCAGGAGAAAAAAATACCAACAGCTTTCAGTAACACCTTTAAAAATATATATTTACAGGAACAATTCCCCAATCTCTGGGACTCTTAGAAAAAAAAAAGGTCCATTTTGGGGAAGTAAAACAAACCGTGGAGACGAGTGTAGCACCGTCCCCCAAATCACCAACCCCCAGGTCTTCAGGCCTGGTCTGGGTCAGTGCTGACAGGAGGTGAGCCTGGGAGTTTTTTGAATCCAACCCCTCCAGCCTAGAATTGATACAAGACAGGCTTCATGTCCCCCATTCCTCCCTCCCAACTCCAGGGACACTTAAAAGGGTCCTTTGTACCCGCCCGCAGGAAATTGGGGGGCTGGGAGGGAGGGAGCTGAAAATACATGTTTGGTATCAAAAATAAACACTTGGGGTTGGCAGGAAGACCGCCTCCAAATCCCTTACTTCCCACCCACCCGCCTACCCACCCATCAGATATAGGAAGAGATGCTTCCCTCTCCCTTATTGAAAAGCCCCATTTAAAAATAGATTATACTATCAAAATGGAAGAGGATGGGAGACAGAGAGCCCTGGAGAACTGGCTGGAGGGGCCCCCCAGACGGGGACCACCACCCCAAAAAACCCTCCATTGGGAGGTAATAGGCAGGCCCCCAGGGGTTTGGAGACAAAGGAATGGCTTCTCAGGGGGAAGAACAATAAAAGGAATATTCCTCCCTGGCCAAAAGGTTACTTGAGAAAAGAACAAGCTGACTGAGAGGGTTGGGGAGGTAGCAATTCCTATTTTAACAATGTGATTCTTCCCTAGCTACAACTCCCAAACCATTAAATCATACAAGTGCTCCCTGGACTCAGATATGGCCAGGAATAATAAAACAAAACAAACTAGCTCTTCAACCCATGTTCCAAAATAAGGACAGGAAACCCTTGACTCCCCAAGGGCAGGCTGAGAAATAAAGAAAGAAAGGTCCTTATCAAGCCATACCCTGATTGTCTTGTTTTAGGGAAAAAAATGGGGAGGAAATGGAGTAGATGTCTTACCCACTCTCCTAAAAGGGTTAGGCCAGAATCTTCCCAGCGGCCTTCAAAAAATAAATAAATAAACCGCCCCTACCATTGAAGTAGGAGACGTGTAAAGGCGGCCACTGGGAGGCTGGCAAAAAAAGAAAGAAGTTGTCTGTTTTGGGTGGAAGTTAGTGAAAGATCCTCTTTTCCAGGAATATCCACCCCATCACAACCAAAGCATGAGTCTGTCAGTTGAATTATGTTTCTCCTTGAGATGGCTAGCTGGAGAGTTCAGGAGCATGAATGGAGAGACTCCAGAAAGGGGTTGTTGGTGTAAGTCATGGCTTCTGGGGCCCTGGGGAGAGCACCACGGGGGTTGAGAGGCCATCCACACTGATGGAAGGGATGTGCACCTGTGCGCTGCCACTGGACGGAAACTGGGGGAAGAAACAAGGAGAGGTCATAGATGAGAACCATGCTAGTGACTCTCACCCTTTCCAACATAGGGAGGAGAGAATCCTACCTGGAAGGAGAGCTTGGCTGGACTACGGGGTGCAATTGGACTCAGAGTGCTCCAGAAATGAATGCTGGGGGGCAGCGAGCTGGGTGTCAGCAGCACCGGGGTCTATGGAGATGGAGTGGCAGGAACTCAATGACAAGTATGGGAAGATGGAAGGAACCTACTTTCAGCCCCTCTACACATATCCCCCTCAGACTTCCATGGTCACTCCTCAAAAGTTCACAGACCTAGAGTATAAGTACTAAGACCATACCAATGACATCTCTCAACCTTTACAAAGACCACTCCTGCTAACCCCTAGGAGCCCACCTCCTGTTATTGACACTTCAATGGGCAAGACTATCCACCAGATTCTATCTGTGCACTGCTCTAAAACCTTGTAAGTGACCATCAGAAGAGCTCAACTTACCACTTTCAGATTCCATTCATATAACTCACTAGGGAAACCCAATACGCAAACTCTAGGCCAAATAACCAGGCAGTTCCTCAGCTGTACCCTCTAGAAGCAGATCCAAAGGAAAGCCCTAGGGAGTCAGGCCGCCACAAAGTCCTCAGACCTGCCCTGTTTAATTAGCTCCTCAGAGCAGCTAATTACACTTGTCACCTGTGCCAATGTTACCCAGCCAGGCTGCCAGCCCTTGTTCCTTTGCAAGGCACTCACCAAGGTATGTGTGGGTAGCAGGGATGGCGTCAGTGCTGGCCCTGGTGCTTGCAGACCAGAGCCTGTTCCTGATCCTGGAGTTCGTTCGGGTCCTGGGCCACCCAGCAGGCTTGGGCTAAGTGGAAGTTCCAGGTCCCGGGGCTTCCGGCCTTTCTGGGGTTGGGCAATCTCATTGGCAGAGGCAGATAGGCCACACACCTGTGCTGTATTCTCCATTAGGACGGCTGGGAGCCGAGCCTGCAGGCCTTCGGAGGGTGATACTTCTGGTTCAGCTTTGACAGTTTCTGAACCAAAGCCCGCAGCTCCTACAGCTTCCAATTCTTCCCTAGGCCCCTCCACTTTCACTTCTGGGGGCAGTGGACGGCCAAAACCTGGCTCCAGACTCAACTCTTCTGATTTCTGGTTTGGGGCCTCAGGTGGGGTCAGGATAACCTGGGAGAGGAGTGGGCACAAATGGAACGCATAGGCGTGTAGAATGTTTTCCTGTGGGTCATCCAAGGATATCTCTAGGAAGACATTTGATATTGGTGGCAAGGCTGTACACACAGCATGTCCTCTAACTGGCCATGGGTCTTAATGGAAGTGGAGATCCTCTGGGGTAAGAAAACTTAACAGGGATGAGACTCTAGATTAGAGGTACCACTGTCATTCATTCTCATACCTACATTAATCAGAAACTCTGGAAATGGGTCCAAACAATCTGTGCCTTAAGGCCATCCTGGTGATTCTGATGAATGCTAAAGCATGGCAACCAGGTGTATTAGATGTGACCATGTAAGGGACTAATTGTGCAAGATATGCAGAACTGTCCCCCCCCATCCTTTTCTCTGAGGGAACTTGTGTCCCCACTTCCACCATTACATCCTTTAGCAGGACACCTATATCTATTCTACCAATTCTGTGCTTCATTTCAGAATTATGCATCCTTCCTCTCCAAGGCCTTTACTAAATTTCCAAATTCTAGTACTCACCTGCAGAGGCAGACCAGCTTCTTCGGCTTCCAAACAGGCTTCTAAGGGGTTTGGACTGGTGCTCCTGCTCCCTGAGGTGGGTGCTGGTACTCCTGCAGGGGTAGTGTTGGGAAGCACTGAGGCAGGCCGAGGATGAAGGGGTGGCTGTGGCTGTGGCTGCAGGGACTGGATTGTGAAGGTAGAATAGAGGCCCGAGCGCATGTATTCATTCCGGCTGCTGCGTGCTAAACCACCTTGGCCTGCCATTCCTGCACCCTTGGGTGTTCCTGGCTTTCCAGTGGCAGTGTCCCCTGGGGCTGCATGGATAGCAGCAGGGGCCATTGCTACAGTCGAGGCTACAGACACCTCAGGCTGAGGTGGGCAGTCTTCAGTGGAGCACCCTGCAACCTCTGGGTAGGACACAAACTTGTAGACAAACTTCTGGCCGCTCACCTTTCGGATGATGTTCTGAGAAGTGAAGAACAGGGTGGATGGAGGGTCTTGAGGGCTGTTTCTCTTCTCCTGATGTCTTTCTTCCTACTTGCTCCCATTTCACTCATCTCTTTTAGGCTTGTGGATTCTTCCTCTCTGTCTATGCTTTCCTTTTTCCCCTCTCCATGTCTCTCCCCTGTTTCAACTCCTTTCTCTGGGCACCCTCAACAATTCTTTAGTGTCTCTTCCCATCCATCTCCCTTCAAGTCTTCTTCTGTCACTCATCTTCATTCACCTAACTCCCCTTTCCCCACTGGCTACATTTCACAAGGGATCAATTTAGGGGAGCAGGTGAGAACTACGGATCTGGGTTTAACAGAGTCAGGAATGCTAACAGGACTGTTTTGGAAATTAACTACTTCAATAGGAAAATGAAATAACTGATATACATGTTGGAAGAGTCTAAATTATTATAGATGAATAGGGAGATAAAATGACTAATATAGAGGGTTTTCATAACAATTTATTGATTGACTGTATGTGGGAGGGGAATTAGTGTGACTGACTCACGTGGTGGCATGAGTATGCCATAGTACATGTAAAGGTCAGAGGACGACTTGCAGAAGATGGTCTCTCCCTCTAGTATGTAGGTCCTAGGGAATGAACTCAGGTTCTCAGGCTTGGCAACAAGAGCTAAGCCACCTCACTGGCCAGATATAGTGGATTTTTTAAAGCTAGTGATGCTGACATGGAGTAGGGAAAGTCTGTTGGCTATTTGTTTTTGTTAACTCTAGCTTAGAGTCATCTGGGAAGAGGGAACCTCAACTGAGAAAAAAATGCCTCTATCAGATTGTCTTTAGGCATGTCTATAGGCATTTTCTTGCTGTGGGTGGTACCATCTCTGAGCAGGTGGTCCTGGGCTGTATAAAAGTGGTAGCTGAACAAGCTATGAAAGGCAAACCAGTAGGTAGTGTTCCTCCATGGACTTGGCTTCAGTTCCTGCCTCCAGTTTTCTATCTTGACTTCCTCCATGAAGGAGTGTAACCTGTAAGATGAAGTAAACCCTTCCCCACCCCCAAGTAGCTTTGTCATGGTGTTTATCACAGCAATAGAAGACACACCAAGATGCCTATTGTGGTGGTGCACGCCTTTAGTCTCAGCACTTGGGAGGTAGAGGCAGGGGGATCTCTGTGAATTTGAGGTCAGCCTAGTCTACAGAGTGAGTTCCAGGACAGACGGGGCCACATAGAGAAACCCTGTTTCAAAAAACAACCCCCCCAAACAAAACAAACAAACAAACAAACAAACAAAGCATACAAGACAGAAATACCAGAGAGGGCTATTGCTGTGATAGACCTGACCATGTTATTTGGAAAGGAGTGCAGTAGCACCTGGAACTTTGGGCTGCAAGAGCTTTCTGTTCAGAGCTTCAAATGAGCTGTAGAGGGAACTTGGAAGATAATGCTGAGAGCAGTGCAGATGATGGGTTGTGAACTTTCAGAGGGAAGTTTGAGAGTTCCTTAAAGTCTCTAGAGGGTCTACTTACATGATATTCTGTTAAGAATCTGTGGTTTCTGGTAAGCTGGAAGTGAAGAATTAGTTGTGATTAACAAGAGACCAGCACAACTGCAGTGAAACCTTTGCTTTACTGGGACAATTGATGCTGATTAACAGAGGCTGGAAAAATCAGCTGTGAATAAGAAGAGATCAGGAACACTGAGGTGAAATATTTCAAGAAGTGTTTCCTTAGGGTCAGTGCACAGAAGCTGTGGTCCATAGGGGGCCAAGGATACATATTATACTGGTAGCTGAACTTGGCAATTTGTAAGTCTTCCACATGGTATCTGGTTTAGTGGCATGAAAGCTGCATTACTGAAGGGGTTATGGAGAGCAGCTGAGGCTTGGTACTGTGAGAAGCCAGGAAAGGTCACTGGTGAAGGTGCAGTTTCAGTTGCAATAGATGTTCCAGGATTGAAAAGATCGTGGAGAGAAGCTGGGGCTTGGTACCATATGATAGGGTTGGAGTCCCCACAGAGAGGCTAAGAGGCCCGTGGTGAAGGTGCATCCACAGTTGCAGTGGAGACTCCAGCCTACTGGAGAAGCAAAGACTGTGGAACTACCAGTAAGGATGGTGACAAGTGTGATGTGGAGCTAGCCTCTGCCTAGGAGACAAGCTCTATATGCTACAGATGGTGCAGCTGGAGAAGTAGAGATGCCCAAAAGAGCCTAAAGATTGAGTGAGTCCCAGATGCCAGATGTTGAGCTACAGGATTTAATTTAGACTGCTGGAATTTGGTTTTGTTTTGATTTGATTGTAACCAGTTCTTCCCTTTTGGAGTAAAAGTAAGAAAATATTTAACTTGCTTTTTATTTTATAGGATCTCACAGTTGAGAAACATTGGATATTTTAAAACGATACTGAACCTTTAAAATGTTTAAAAGACTCTGGGACTTTTAAAGTTATATTATGTTTTATATTGTGATATTGATATTTTTTTAAAGATTTATTTTATTTATTTATTATGTATACAGCATGTATGACCAGAAGAGGGCACCAGACCTTATTACAGGTGGTTGTGAGCCACCATGTGGGTGCTGGGAATTGAACTCAGGACCTCTGGAAGAGCAGTCAGTACTCTTAACCTCTAAGCCATTTCTCCAGCCCGTGATATTGATATTAACATGACATCTTGAGGATAAATAAGAAGTTATTTTAAAGATTATACTTTAATAGTGATGCATTAGTGTGTCAAGTTGACAAAAAGGGTCAAATGTCCTGGTCAGTTTTTTGTCAACTTGATACAAACTAGAGTCATCTAGGAAGGACCCTCAATTGAGAAAGTACCTCCATCAGATTGCCCATAGGCAAGTCTGTGGGGGCATTTTCCTGATTAATGATTTGATGTAGTAGGGCCCAGTATACTCAGGGTGTTACCACCCCTGGGCAGGTGGTCATAGGTTGCATAAAAATAGCATGCTGAGTGATCCATCGAGGAGCAAGCCAGTAAGCAGCCTTCCTCTATGGCCTCTGCTTTAGTTCCTGCCTCCAGGTTCTTGCCTTGAGTTCTTCCCCTGGCTTCCTGCAATAATGGACTGTGACATGGAACTGTAAGGGAAACAAACCCTTTCCTCTCCAAGTTGCTTTTGGTCATTGTGTTTATCCTACCAAGAAAATAAACTAGGATAGAAATATCACTAAAGAGGACAGGAAATGTCTCATTTTTAGTACCATTCTGGATATTTAAGCTAAAGCACTAAGAAAATGAGGAAACTGGCCGTAATTAGAGAAGAGCATGAGAAGCTGGTGTAGGCATGAGGAGTAGGGTAGCAAGGTTTGCTTGGCTGGGTCAGAAAGCATGCTTTGTGGTATCTTAGGACACTGTACAGGGTAGTTTTGTGTGTCAACTTGACACAAACTAGAGTCATTAGAAAGGAAGGAGTCTCAGTTGAGGGAATGCCTCCATGAGATCCAGTTGTAAGGCATTTTCTCATTTAGTGATCAATGGGGTAGAGTCCAGCCGTGGGCTGCTGATCCTGGGTTCTATAAGGTAGGTTTATCAAGTCAGGGGAAGCAAGCCAGTAAGCAGCTCGCCTCCATGGCCTCTGCATCAGCTCCTGCCTCCAGGATCCTGCCCTATTTGAGTTCCTGTCCTGACTTCCTTCAGGGATGAACAGCAATGCTGAACTGTAAGCCTAATAATAATAAACCCTTTCCTACCCAACTTGCTCTTTGGTCATGAGGTTTTTGTCACAGCAATAGAAACCCTAACTAAGACAGACACATATGGTTTGGAGGGTTCCAGGGATGTCCTGATGGTCTCAGAAGACCAGAATGAGGAAGAGTAATTAATATTACTTTAGAGGTTTGAACTGAAAGAGTACTGTATGAAATTGGAATATATGCCATAAACTATCAAAGACACAAATCACAGGTGAGAATTATCTTGTTTGGAGAGAGAATGAGGAATCTGAGGACACTAGGTATTTTGGTGGAAGTCTTAATGCTGGTCAAGTATTTCACAGGGTATCCTTGTGTTTTTCAGAAGAGGAATGAAAAGGGAAAATTATTAACATTGTTTTGAAGATTTACACTGAGGAAATATGAAATAATTAGTATAAATATAATGCAGATCTGGGAGTCTGAGTGTAAGATGAGAAAATCTAAAAATGGAGCTGCAATAGTGATCTAGACACTGAGGTGCTTGCTGCTCTAGAAATCTAAGATTAGTGGGCATGGAACTGGCACTACACATGTTGTTCTGGAGCATTTAGTTAAGGGCAAAGGCTTGTAATCCTAGCACTCAGAAGACTAAGACAAGAGGAATGCAAGTTTGAGGCCATCCTCAGCAACACCAAGAGACCTGCCTCAAAAATAAAAACAAAACAAAGGAACAAGAGAAAACAAAACAATTGATAAAGATATTGGGGGTTCTAAAAAATGAAATAAGGAACCTTAGTATTATGTCAGGATGATTTTGAGTCTAGGAATAAGAATATGGATTGTTTTGTAGTGAGAGAAGATTATATATAAAGCAACCAGGGGAACACAACATTAGTCCAAGGGTTCCAGAAAACACATTATCTTAAAGCCAGCAGGGAACTAAAGGCTGGGTCAAAAATTGGTAAATTTTAATATGGTTTTCAAAGTTATAGCTATAGTAATTGAGACAACAAAATGAAATTTCTAGGCCAGAAGTGTAATTTCAGGAATTGGGGGAATTTTCAGGAATTGTCCAGTTGGAAGACAGGACAGTGAATTTGAGGACAGCTTAGGCTACATAGTAAGTTTCAGACAAATCCAGACTACATTGTGAGACCCTGACTCAAAAGGAAAAAAACAGAGAGGAGTTTTCTGGTAGTAATTTCAAGGGTTTCCAGTCCTGGTCTCTGAGGCCATACCTTGTCATAGTAGTACCGCAAGGCCCGGCTGAGCTTGTCATAATTCATGTTGGTCTTGTTCTTGCGCAGCCCCCATAGACGGGCCACCTCCTCTGCATCCACCAACTTGAACTCGCCACCATCCCGTGAGGTCCAAGAGATGATGTGGCCATTACCTTGTTCTCTCAAAAGCTGCAGCAGAAACTGCCACAGCGTCACAGATGGGTCCATCACTAGTGAAGCACTCACGCCATTCCAGGGGTACCTGGAGGACAGCAAAAGTGATTTCTTTGTTACCTTGCCTACACCTCTGTTCCCATATCCCACTACTATCCCCTAAACAGTCTCCTAAACTCCCTCATGTAGCTTTAGATGTCCCTTGTACTTCACACATGGGACAAAACTGGAATTAAAAGATATTTATGTATGTCTGTGTGTATGTGAACATGTGTGTGCCTCTTCTTGGGAAACAAGAAGAGGGCAATGGATCCCCTGTAACTAGAGTTACAGGCACTTATGAGCTGTCCAACATGGGTTTTGGGAACTGAACTCGGGTTCTCTGTGAGAGCAGCAAGCACTCTTTACCACTGAGCCATCAGTTCAACCCTGACAAGTGTGTATCATTAGGGGCTAGTTGGAAGACAAGATAATACAACCTGAGCCTGAAAGAGTTCCACATCCTAGTTGGAGTCTGACTATGTTATGCTCCTATGAAGTAAGGAACCTTAGTATTATGTTAGGATGATTTTGAGTCTAGGAATAAGAATACGGATTACAGACCTTAAGATACAGCAATCACTCGGGTTTTATTTGAGTTCAACTGCACTGTATGAGCTCTTTTAAAAGCAGACAAATAAGGCTGAAACAGAGATTACAGGCAGAATGGCAGGAGAGGCAGTAGATTCCAAACATCAGAGGGATTTTCCCTGCCATTCCTGACTCTGGAGAAGGCTCCAAGACAAGGAAGTTGGGCAGCTTCACAAACCTGGAATGACCCCCAGCCTACAGCCAGTAAGGAAACATCAGTATTACAACTCAAAGGGCAACCTGAAAGAACAGGAAACAATTCTCCTCTAAAAAAGGACTAAAGTCCTCCCAAGACATTAATGTTAGCCTGGTGAGAACAGTGTTGGATTTCTGAGCTACAGAACTATCAGATGATAAATGTGTAATTTTTTTTAAAAGACAGGGTCTTATTATGTAGCCTAGGCTGGTCATGAATTCTCTTGTCTCAGCTTCATGAGTACTGGGATTACAGGTGTGCACCTATACAAATGTGTAGTTTTAAGGAGATTAACCTAATTTATACAGCAGTACTAAAAAACTAGTGAAATGTCCTTGACTGGACTCTTATAATCAGTATCTTCTATCCCATTAGCTTTTCCAGGATGTGCCTTTTGCTAGCCCCTTGTAAACACACTGTTCATTGCATATGGAGCTCACTCAAAGGTCCTTTGTTTTATGAAGCCTTCCAAATCTGAATACCTACACTTTTCTGTTCCTCAATACCTCATTTTTCTAGCCTGTGATTGTCCCTGTATGGTTTAGGCTTTTAAGGAATGTTTTCTTGCGGGGCGGTGGTGGCACATGCCTTTGATCCCAGCACTCGGGAGGCAGAGGCAGGCAGATCTCCGTGAGTTCGAGGCCAGCCTGGTCTACAGAGCGAGATCCAAGAAAGGCGCAAAGCTACACAGAGAAACCCTGTCTCGAAAAACAAAACAAAAAAATGTTTTCTTGATGAGCACAAATTTATTATACATTAAAATGGGTTTCATTATAACATTTCCATTATAACAATTTTGATTACATTCACCTCAATTACCCTATCCTGCTTCCCTCCCTTCCCACTGATTACCTTCCTCTTCCCAATTAGGCTTCTTTTTATTTTATGACTTTTTTTGTGATCCAATGAGTTTCAGTAGAGTTGCTCACAGGGGCATGGGTGAGGGTTTGTTTCAGGAGCACAGACACCTTACCAGTGGCTATACCATTGAAGAAAATGTCTCTTGCTCTTCCAGTAAACATTAAAGGCCTAAAGAACCTCAGGAAATGGTGGGGCCATGAGTCCTTCTAGTTTTTTTCCCTTTTTGTTTGCCATTGTTGCTGTTGTTTTGTGACAGGGTCTTATGTAGTTCAAGCTGTCTTTAAATTCTTGATGCTATTGCCTCCATCTCCTGAGTGCTGAGATTATACATATCCCACATAACTCAGCATACAAGGCAGCTGCTTCTTTCTGCCGTGCTGAAGATCAACTTCAGGGCCTTATGCATGTTAAGCACATGTTTTTAATCACAGAGCTTTACCACAAACCTATGTCTTTCTTTAAACAAACATGTAAACTATTATGTTAGGCACTGCTCTAAGCAGAAAGGCTGGCCTACTGGACAATCAACCTCCGTCTAATGCTAGACTTCTATGGTTTGAATCCTGGGTCTGCAAGTTATTAGCTGTGTGATCCTGGCCATATTCATTAACTTCTTTGTACCTCAAATTTCCTCATTTGTGAAATAGGGATAGTGATACATCCATCTATAAAATAGTGACTATGGAGCATTATTATTATGTGAATTAAATATAACATGCTTGGGGTAAAAGCTTTGTTTTCTAATTTGTTCATAAATCCTTTTTCTGCTATCTCTGAATCTAAAAAGCTCTAAGAACAAAAGGCTTTTTTTGTAATTCTTTTGGCAACAAAACATGATTTGAAAGAAAGCAAGCTCATTCTGGTTTTTATTGATCCTTGCTTAGTGTGAATGTTCATACATTCTGCTGCAGAGATCTGAAAGCAGCTGGTGACAGAGCTGGCTGAAGGCATTATGTAACATATCATATGTGCACCCTGCTACCTTTCTGAACTGAAAAATTCGCAGTTCTTAAATACATCTGGTCTCTGGGGGTTTAGATAAAGGCATGGGCTGTTATTTTTATAGGCATTGACTCACTTATCTCTCATCCCAATTCTGGAAAGTAGGGACTTTTTTCCTTTTGGAAAGGAGATATTATTATAATAGCACTAATTTATACACAAGGCAGCTAATTTATACACTGAGGCAAAAGATGTCCAAGTGACTTCACTATGCTACACTGCTATAAGTGACAGTTTCGGAGATCTAAGTGGTTCTGTTGTTCATTTTTAGAGACAGGGTCTTATATAGCCTAGGCTAGCCTAAAACTTGCCACACAGAGGATGATCTTGAACTCCTGATTTTCCCGTCTATACCTCCCTAGTACTGAAATTATAGGCATGGGTCACCATGACCAGCTTCAGGGGTCTGAGCATTTAACCACCTGCAGGAGCCTGTATCAGGTCCTTTGATATATATTACAGCATCCAGTTTAGTGTTTTTATGGGATTCCTTAGTGTTTAAATGAAAGGGTCCCTGCTTCTTGGGTCTTCTCTTGGGCTACTTTCTGATTGTTTTGTCCAGTTGCATTGTGTTAGTTTTTGTTTTATTTTATTATAATATTATAATTTATTATTATCCCTTAGAAGCCTTCTTCTTCTTCTTCTCCTCCTCCTCCTCCTCCTCCTCCTCCTCCTCCTCCTCCTTCTTCTCCCTCTCCCCCCCCCTCTCTCTCCACGGTTTCTCTGTGTAACATCCATGGCTGTCCTGGAATTCGCTTCGTAGACCAGGCTGGCCTCCAACTCACAGACACCCGCCTGCCTCTGTCTCTGGAGTGCTGGGATTAAAGGTGTGCACTACCATACCTGCTCTGCCTGTTTGTTTTCTTATGAGAGACAGAAAGGGAGTGGATCTGGATGGGAGAGGAGGTCGGAATGAACTGGGGTAAGAGGGAGGGGAAACCATAAGCAAAATATATATTATGTGAGGAAAAAAAATCTATTTTAACTAAAAGGAAGTACAAAACAAAACAAAATATCACCTCAACTAATTACTCCCTTTAGGCGTGCCTTTCAGAGGAAGGATGTTCCCTGTCATCCCATCACTAACCTTTCCAATAAGCAAAATGGAACTAACCTTCAACATTCTAGTCCCTGTGAAGATGGGACTCCATCAACCAGCTGTCCACCTGGCTGGGATTGTTAGATTAAGAATAAATCTTCTAAGGTTTTGAAGAATTTATGATTTATATTTATAGCCTTATTCTTTAATCTACATGAAATTACAGTATGATCCTCGTATGCCTGAGCTAGTTCAAGGTTCATTTAGGACAGTGTTACACAGCTGTCCAAATTACAGTGCCAAGAAACAGTGGATCAGAGTCCCCTCCTCAGAGCTCTAACAGACTAAATATACCCAAGACTGACTTCTTTCAGAGGCCCTAAGACCAGTGTGACTCCTAGTGGCGAAGACAGGCAATTTCACCACCTCTTCTGAGCTATGCCAAAATCTAGCAGCTAAGTGAAATCTGCCCAATTAGTGTTCAGCCTATCAGACAGGGGGCTGAATTTGATTACTGCTTCTCTCACACAACTCCTAAACAAGAATCCTAGTCACTTGCCCTTCCCAGAAGGCTTTCCTTTCACTCCTCACCTCATTCACTGGGTGCCTCAAAACAGCTTGGGACACAACAGACAGGAGCCCCTGAATGCTAGTGTAATTCACACATTTGTGGGGCAGTAAGAAATGTTTCAAAAAAGAAAAAAAAAACACAACACACACTACAACATAACACAACCACTCTCCAAAAGGTGAATTGTATTATTGCCTACATTTTACAGACAAGTCAGTGAAGTGTGGAGAAAGTAGTTAAGTAACTTGCCTTAGATCTCACCATTGGACGAGATGCTGGATGATGGATGAATTCTGACTCAGCATTCCTAGCTACTCAAGACCAGTTCTCTATGAAGAAAACATAGATGGGCAAGATCCCAGAGTGACAAGAATGTGAGTAGGACAGGCTTCCCTGAAGAAGTGACATTTGATGGAGGGGAGGCAGTAAGTCATACTGATGTCCATGGGAAGGATAATTTGGTAAAGGGAATAGCATATACAAAAGCTCTGAAGTGGTTATTCGAGGTATCATGGTTCCTAGGATAATGCCCACTTTCTGAGGCACACAATGTTCTCTGCCAGGAGTGTCATTTCCTCCTAGGACTAATTCTATCATATCATTAAGTTCTAGCCCCTAGCAGGTAGAATTAGTTTTTTTTCTGCACAATCCAATGCATGGAGTAACCTGTTTGTCCTTGCAAATTTGTTCTGTCCTGGTCTTCACAATTTCACACTCTGCCATGTTAGTCTATGTGGCTTTGAGCAAGTTGCTCAACCTCTTTATGCCTGGTTAAATATCTGTAAAATAGGGTATTTTACTCTCAAACCAAAAAAGAATTAAAAAAAATCATGCCTTCCCTCAAAGGCTTTTTATAAGGATTCAAGGTGCCAATATATGTAAAAGATTTAGAAAAGTGTCTCTAGCACATGGTAAACACTCAATAAATGTTAGCCCTTAGGCTGTGTGTCATCCTTCTTCCTCCCCCTCAACCTCTGTAGGACTCTACCATCTGGCTCTCATCATGTCTATGACCTTGTCTTCTACCCCTCCCCCTCAAATCTTTTCCAGCCACACTGGCTTTTGAACATGGTAGGCACAATCTGACTTCACAGTCTTTGTACGGAGTGTTCTTTCTGGTACACTCTTCCCTAACGCATTATGAGTTCTTCCACTGTTTCCTTCAGGCCTTAATTCATGAGTCACATTTCCAAATGTAGCCTGCTTTGTCCCAAAGATTTCAAATACCTTGATACTCTAGTCCTATTTGCCCCACTTCATGTTTTTTCCTTAGCATTTGTGTAATACACCGTCTAATTTTACCTATTTATATAGTCTGTCTCCCTCACTTTTAGTAATACCTGCTTCCTATGTGCAGGGATTTTTGCCTGTTTTGCTTCTCCATATATCACTAGCATCTAGAATGAATGCCTGGTACTCACTAGGTACTTAGAAAATATCTGTTAACATTTAAACAGTCCCAACTAATATCTTAATTTGTTGTTGTTGTTGTTCTTCTCCTTCTCCTTCTTGTCTGCCCCATCCCCATACTGATGTCTGGGATACAATTTTCAGTTTCAGTTTTGTGATAGGATCTCATTCCGTAATCCAGGTTGGTCTGAAACTCACTATGTAGCCCAGGCAAGCATTTACTTCCTGAAAACTCTCTCTTGGTTTTCCATGCTGGAAATATATAGATGTAAGCCACCATGCACAGCCTAGATAACATCTTCCCCTCATTTATTTGTACAACCAATTTTTCCAAGCATCTACTGTACAGAAGGTATGTTTTTTTTAGATGAAGACAGAACACTGAATAAGCAGATAAAACATATAAGTCCCCATAGGACCTCCATTCTGGGGAGAGACAGACAATATATAAACTATATAGCATTTTTAACAGTGACAGAGTAGAAAGGAACAAAGCAAGCAAGAAAGAAACCTGAACCCTGTTGGGTGTGCAAAATCAGATGGCCAAGGGGAGGGGTGGGTGTTGACTGCTTTGTTTTCACACAAGAAGTATCCTTTGAAACATTTTTATACATGTGCCTTTATATAGTATATTCCAAGCACCAGTGTGACAAATACATGTTTTACTGAAAGAATACCACCCAGATGCAATGAAAGCATTCTCTGAAACATCTTTTCTATTTGTGCCTTTTCATATCACCAACATCACATTTCTGTTAATGAATCCTTCTACACTCACCTTATTCACAAATCAAATGGCATTCTTAGAAACAACTTTAGTGTGTTCCCTGCACAGTGTGGTGAAAAATTTATTTTGGGTATGGCAACTGAACAAGGCCTAGGAAGTTACCATGCTGAAATGTGGACATAATGTTAAGGGAGAAAGAAGAGCTAATGCAAAGGCCCTGAGGCTGGCCTGTACCTGCTGTTTTCGAGAAGCAATGAAGAGGAGGCCAGCATGGCTGTACCATAGGTCTAAAATGGGGAGGTGAAGGAGGTAAGGTCAGAGAGGTGACTTGTTTAACTCACATATTTTTTTTCTTTGCACTGGAAAAGATTATAGTTCCTGACTCCCCTTTTTCAGCCCAGTACAGGGAGAAAGTAGTTAAGCTATTCATGTAAAGCCACAGCACTGCTGGGATTGGGAATTAATGGGTCTTGAGACTAGTGTGGAATGGGGATAGACCTATTGGAAGAATGAACACCAGAAACAAAAGCCTGGTACTTGGAACTAATTTGAAATGTGCCCTCATGTGGGATGCAATGAAGTGAGAGAAGGGCACTTCAAAAATGTCCTTGAAAGTAGTTATTGGACCATTTCTGAGTAAGGGTTTTAATCTCCATGTCTTGGTTTTCTCAGTCGCCTGTCTCACAGGGCTATGATAAAGACTAAGCAAGCTGGAGACTATAGAACACTCTGCCTGGTACATAGCAAGTGTAAAGTGTAAAGGTTAGCTCTGACTGTCATTAACATCAGTACCACTACTGTACTTGAGAACTATAGCAAGGCAAAATGTCTAAGTGGTTAAGAGTGTCTATGTAAAGTATACAGTAAAAGTCCCTGGTTTTCACAAATACATAGGATCGCCTAACAGATGGGGGCAGGGAAGATTGATCCAACACATGGAGAGGAGGAGGGAAATAAAGTACAAGGCCTATTTTCCTTGGGGAAAGACTGCAAGCACTGGACTCAGAAGGATATGAGAGAATGCAAACACTGAGGTGGCAGGAGGCTACTGAACAGACCCATTACAAAAGGAGGGAGATAAGGTTTAAAGCTGACTCCTATATAATAGCAGCGAAGAAGAGCCATCACATAAAGATTAAAATGAGGGACAGAACAAGGCCATAGACTGGGCCGCCGAAAATGAAAAAAAAAAAAAAAAAAAAAAAAAGCAGCAAACTGACCCATTGCTAAAAGGAAGCAGGTCAAAGGCTGGAGTCTACAAATAAGGGAGAAAAGTGATAACTAGAGGGATGTGAATGCAAGCATGCAGACTAATCCACAATAAGCTGGGGGCAGTGGAAGGAGGTGGGTAAAGTCATGGGTTTATGTACTGGGGACTCAAGGTGATGGAAACATAAACTCAGGTGGACTCACTGTTAAACAAACATGGGGTATGAGGGGGGTACAGCGCCACGGATTGATTCACTACAAAACATGAGGGGTTCAATAAACAAGGCCACAGAGGATCCCCTTAAAGTTGAGGCTAGAAGAAATTGCAAACACTTTAGAAGCATCTACTACCAAAGGAAGACTGGACAATGCAACAGACTGGTTCCCAGTAAAGTGGGGGTTGGGGAGGGCAAGACCACGGACGAGTCCATTAAGTTGGGGTGAGGAAAAACAACCTCGCAGACCGATCCATTATAGAGACAGCAGGAGGTTAGGCCAAGCTCAGATCCACTATAAGGGGCAAAAGGAGCTGGCAATACACACATAGGGGAAATCAGTTGGTAGCAGTAGAGCTGAATACCGGCAGGCTGGGCGAAGCCACATCCCCTTCGCGGGGGCGAGGATACATGGGGTCATAGACTGGGCCCTTCACCTTGTGGGCCTGGGGCTCACCTGTGTGTGGCGCGGTGGTGGCAGCGGCAGCTCCGGGGGGCGGGGGCTCCATATGAGGCCCCACCGCCCCCCAGGCCTGAGTTCCAAGGCGGCGGCGGCGGTGGCGGCGGGAGCAGCAGTGGCGGTGGCCGCAGCACCCAGAAGCCGCCCCTGCGTTTCCCCACCGCTCACGTGGGCCCTCAGGGGAGGAGCTGAGCGTCCCGCTGCTCGCTGATTGGCCAAAAAGCCAAGAATGTAGGCAGAGTTTTGCCTGGTGGTTGAATCCTAACAGAGCTGTGACATGATTGGCTTGAAGGATATTGATGGACTGCAGATGGCCAACTAGAGAGGCGTTGGGCGGCACTGGTGCTTCACCCTGATTGGATCAAGGAGGACTGGTAGCCAAGTGGGCAAGTGCCAAGGTTGGGGCGAGGGAGGTTTTGGGGGGGGGGGAGGGCGCCTGGTTCACACCGATTGGCCTAAGTGAGATTGATGGCAGACAGACAGCCCCAGAGGATGGAGGGGCGGTGGATGAGCTCCGTTTTCAGCTGATTGGTGGAGAGACAGAGACAGCTGCCAAAACACCAAAGTAGGTGGTGCTGCACACCATGCGGTTCAGCGGAAACAGGACTTATTTAGAACGGGGAATAGCAGCAGGGTAGGGCTTGACACTATGTAGGAGGGTAGGGTAACGCTATGGTAATTAGCTAGGCGAGACAAATTTAGAATCCAGCAGAGGTAGGAGGACTGAATGGCTGCCAGATATACGGGGTAGTTGAGGGTAGAAATTAACTGTCTACAAGGGCAGGGTCAAGCTGCAGCCAGAGTGTGGAACTTGGTTTTTAGTTATCTAAGACTGGACTCTAGGTTATAGGGCCTGTGCCTATAAGGGCAGGATCTGTGCCTTTTGGTAAACTAGATCTATTTAGAACCATTTAGGGAACAAATCAAGGTTGTGAAAGTGAGATAATATACCTTAATATCTGAAGTAAAAGGCTAATGGCCACAGAAACAAATCACTCTGAATTAGCACTTTTAAAATTTGTTTCAAGGGTCACATGTAGTCCAGGATGACCTTGAACTTCTGATCTTCCTGCCTACTCCTGATCCCACTCAGGTAGACCTCCTATGAATTTAGGGCTTCATGTGTGATAGGCAAGCACTCTACCAACTAAACTTCATCCCCTGCCCATGAATCAGTTCATTCTTTATGGTAATACAAAGGACACTGATAGGAAAAGGAATTAAAGTGTGAGGAGGTGGGTCAAAGTCCACAAGGTGACAAAAAGGGCAAATCATAAAGTCAGGTGGAAAATACAAATTGGAGGCAAAACCTCTAGAGTGTTCTAGAGGTTCTACAGAGTGGATGGGTCTTCTAGTAACTTTGGTCTCCAGGGCACTTAGTCAATCAGTGAGAGCTAGGGGGAAAAAGAAGGGCTATGTGATTCCAAGACATTCGGCTCTTTAATATTAGATGGGAAGAAGCAGTCAATGGGGAGATGGCTCTGGGAAATTCTGCAGGCCTTGTAGTTCTCTAAGTCCCTGTAAAAGAGGACAAAATAGACTGAACAGAGGCTGGGTCCAAGTCCTGTCCCAGGTTTGCTTTGTTTTTCACTCCCTTGGCTTCAGTTTAGAAGGAAAGATGACCCCTCCCTTCTTTGGCTTTCTCCTTCCCTTCAGGTTGCCACCCTAAAAATACCTGAAGGGTAGAGTGGAGTGAGCTGTTCTCACCTCTAGCATCATGTGGATATGGGCCTTGATATTCATGGAGTCCTTGGTGAGGCTGTCGCTGAGCCTAGAAAAAAGGAACAAGAAAGGGCAAAGTGGGCCCTACTTAGGCTTATGACGATGACTCTTCCTTATCACTTCAAGAAATGCTTGCATCCTGGATGACTTCCACCTGGCCTGCTTCTATGCAGAGATGTCTGGTTACTACTCAGAATTTCCCCATTTAAAAATTGAGGGGAATAGGGCCAGTGAGATGGCTCAGCAGGTAAAAGTGATTACTGCTAAGCTTAATAACTTGAGTTCAATCCCCAGGACCCACATAGTGGAGGAGAGAATGACTTCCAAAAGGTGACCTCTTACCTTCACCTGTACTCATAAAAAATGTAATACTTTTTTTCAAGATTAAGGAGAAGAGGGAAGGGGAGAATATGGGGTCTCTGAATATGATCAAACTACACCTGAAACAAACTGTCTTTAGGAAACCCATCACAATGACTATATGATAATAAAAAGTAAAGATTACTGAATGCTTTCTGTATGCTAGGCAGCTTTAAATATTGGGGAAATAGCAGCAGAAACAGCAGTAAATGAAACAAAATTCTTGGTCTCCTGGAGCTCCTTAAAAAAACTTAGTTTTTAATTATCTGTCTATTGTGTGTGGGGAAAATGTACCCCTGAGTGTAAGTGCCCACAGAAGTCAGAAGAAGACATCAGATCCCCTGATGCTGTAGTTACAGGTGGTTGTGAGCTGCCTGATATGGGTATTAGGCACTGTACTTAGTACTCTGGAGATCAGTATGTGCTCTTAACTACCAAACCATCTATCTCTCTAGCTCTTCAAATACTAAGAGATAAAATAAACACAAGCAACTATAATGTATTAGATCTAAGTATAAGGAAATAAAAAAACGATGAAGAGGTAAAAAGTGGAGGCTTCAATTTTAAAAAGTGCTCAGGTTTGGCTTCACGGAGAACTTTCCTTTTGAGAACTTTCCCAGGCTGGCTTCCAATTCAAGATCCTCCTGCTGATCTGCTGAGAGTAAAGATGTGTACTACCACACTCTACCACTGACCTAAAATGAAGAAATCCATGTAGTGTGGGTGATATGGAAGATAAGTGTTCCAACCAAAGGAGTAGCCAATGCAAAGATGCTAGCAGTGTGCTTGGTATGGTTCAGGCATAGCCAAGAAGCCACTGTGGTTGGGGAATATGTGAAGGAGGATCCTAAGAGGTGAAGTTGAGAGGTAAGGAAGGAGGTAGAGGGTGTAAAGTCTACAGGAGCATGGTAAAAACCTTAGCTTTTGTATTAAATAAGGTGGGAACAAGGGGACGGTTGAGCGTGGAGGACAGATGGAAAATGATTGGAGAAACAGAATCAATAGGGTTTAAAAGAATCCACCTGGCTATAGGGCAAGAAACCCAAATGTGAAGTCAGTAAGTCCAGTGAGGAGGGTAATGCAATAGTTGAGGTGAAGAATGGAGGCTCAGACTACAGGGAGCAGTATAGTTAAGTAACGAGAAACAACTTAGTTTGGGATGTATTCTGAAGGCAGGGCCAAAGGCTTGCAGTCAGTCAGGTGTGAAAGAAAGGACTCTAGGAAAAGGCCAAGGTATAAAAATACCTGAGCAAATGGAGATGCCTAAAACTACCCCAGGCTTGGACTGTTGAGTTACATAAATCAGTCAACTCCTTCTGTCTATGTCTGCTTGAATCAAGTCTCATCTAAAAGAATCCTCATGTATATAATGGGTCAAAAATGAATGCAGTGGGCCATGGAGAAATTTTCTGAAGAATAAAGAAGCAGCACTGAAGATGGAGTGAGAGTTAAACAGTAGGAAGGTCTTTTTCACAGAAGGACAAGAGGCACAAAAGAGCTTTATGAAAAGCGGTCAGTGTTAGTAATTAAGTGAATAGTTAAGGGAGATGGTGTAAGATAGTGTGGAAGCAGCAGAAGGGGCTAGATAGTGCAGGACCTTGATAGCATGATAGGAAATCCAGTTTAATTGTGCTGATCTAGGTAAATGAAACTAAATACTTTACAAAAAAAACAAGGCAATGGGATAGAAAGTTAAGCTGGAAAAAAACCCAGTATGAATTCATCTATATACTACTATCTCCCAAATTTATATTGCTAACTATCTTCAAAATCCCACTTCAGTGTCTAAGTCCTGACACCGGTGTCTGAGCCCCAGCTCTTCCCTCCTGGTCTGCTTTTCTACCTCAGATAGAAATCATGCCATCTTCCTGGTTGCTTATCAAAAACCCAGATTCTCATCTTTTTGCAGGACTAGCATTGAATTTTGGGCCTCACACATCCCAGTTATGTGCTCTACTACTGACAGACATGTACCCCAGCTTCAAGGATCCTCTTTGTTTTCCATATCCAGTCAGCCATTCAACACTACAATTGCTCCAGCCCAAGCAACACTTCCCATCTCCATTATGTACTGTCTGTACCACTGTCAACATCTATTATTACTACATCATGGCCTTATTTACTTATTGTCTCCTTTGATCAAAATGACAGCTGTGAGGGCAGACTGTGGTCTGTTTTGTTGTCTGCTGTATAACAAGGACCAGAAGAATATGTGGCACAGAGTGGGGACCCAATGGATGTTGAATGAATTAAGACTGCACCGTTCAAAGGAAGTCAAAATCCTTAAAAAAAATACTTAAGTCTATAATTAGGACATGGTATGAAGCTTGGCATTACTGCTGGAGAGCAAGAATACCTTTTCTCAGCCATGTTCATAGCTGCTCTGTTCACTCTCAATAGCTAGGAAATGGAAACAACCTAAATGTCTTTCACTAGATGAATGGATAATAAAGATGCTGTACATATACACAACAGAATTCTGTTCAGCTACAAAGAAAAATGAAATAAAGAAATTTACAGGTAAATAGATGGAACTAGAGCATATTATACTGAGGCAACCCAGACCCAGAAAGACAAGCACCTCAAGTTTTCTCTTATTTGTGAATGCAGCTCCGAATCTTTAGATGTGAATATATAAGCTGAAGTAACCACAGAAACCAGGAAAGTAAAGAGACCAGGGGGGAGGAGAAGGAACTGTAGAGAATGGGATAATAGGTCACAGGTGCTATGATGGAGAAATGGGAAAAGTTGAGGCAGTTTTATCTGGGGAGGGGAGAGGGAGAGAAGTACTGAGGAAGAGGGACAGAGGAGGAATAAAAAACACGAGGATGACTGAAAAAGCCATAGGGAAACACTATTTTATGTTTATATGTATTATTTTAAAGTATATATACATATATATGTATAGATACACATTGCATATGATTATATATGTATAAACGATCTAGCAAAAACCCCAGTGACAGACTTAGCCCAGGTGGCTTCCAATTTGAGATCTTCCTGCCTGGACTGCTATAGAGTTGTTGGTCAGGGGAATTAAAGAGACTTCTAAGACAATACTGGTAATTGCTGTTGCTCTTGGTTGCCTCCCAGAACGTGAAGGTTAAGACTCAACTCCTAGCCGGGTGGTGGCACACGCCTTTAATCCCAGCACTCGGGAGGCAGAGGCAGGCGGATCTCTGTGAGTTCGAGGCCAGCCTGGTCTACCAAGTGAGTTCCAGG